GTGGCGAATCGCGCCCTGTCGATGCTCCTCGCGGCCCACTTATACTCCCTTGACGCTGCAACCTTTCGGCTGAACTGCATGGGGGCGCCGAAGACATGATGGTAGCTTCATTGGTACTGACGAACCACAGGAAGATGAACAAGAACAACAACAAAACAATCCCTGATCACTCACATTTATATACAGGATTTTAGCGTGTAAAAATCAAGAATGATTACTGACAGATCACAACAGATCACCAAGTCAAACGACCTTCACGAAACTTCTTGCCAAATCCGTGCGTCTTCGGATATCCCACTTTGCTCAACACCTACTTCCCCTGAAAATTTTTGCAGTGGTCACCTTCATTAACTCTCTTCCTGAAGCCTCACCCTCATTAATTCTCTGCCTCACTCTCATTAACTCTCTTCCTGAAGCCTCACCCCCACCCGCAGCATCATTAACTCTCTTTCTGAAGCCCCACTATTCCCAGCGCTAGCCTCAAGCCTTAATTCATCAACGCTTGATAACTCAGAATACTTATGCCGCGGTTGCCTCTCTTGATTCCCAAGCGGCATTTGCCTCTTCCTGGACTCTTTCTTTATTCACGTTTGTTATTGATGTCTTCTTGGCACCAATGAGTGCGTGTTTTGCAAAACATCAGTGTTTTCGCGGTCCCTTGCTCACCATGGCTGACGTCTTTCAAAAGGTGAGCGCAGGTCAGTGAGCGGCATTGTTCTCTTTTTAGCCGTAAATTCAGACGTCTAACATCACTGTTGTTAAATGGAATTCCATTGACAAAGGGCTGTGAATGAACAGAATGTTGCGGGCAACCAATTCGTTGCGAGTAATTCCAAAAACTTTGTTGTTTTTGTAGCCAAGTAATCTGCTGACGCATACAAGCAACGCGGTGAGGCTCGTGCTCATCGACTTCGGATCCAGTCGTCGCTGCAATGCGGAAACAGTTGTTTGGAACAGTGGCGCGATTGATTTCGCAGCACCGGAGCAGATTTCGCACCGCGAGGTTACGGCTAAAGCGGACATGTGGTAAGTTTTACAAAAAGCACCATTCGCCATCAACATGATACGAAAGTTGCCGCTGCTACCGTATCTGAGTTACCGAAATGCATAGCCCCTAACTGAAATGATGCTCAGTTACTCAATATCCCTTCTATCGTTTTTAGAATTTGTTTTAGCGCAACTTCAAAAAGATTTTTTGTTGCAAAGCAC